ATTTTATTCCTTCTCTTTGTCATTTTGTATACCACTGTCTTCTGACCTTTGGTGTAGAGCTTAGATAGAGTTATTACCTTAGCACCAGGTCCGGATCTATGAAGTTCAGATTCTTCCAGGTGGGTGTTGTTTGGATCTGGCTGCTGTGCTCCACTTCTTTCTGCTGCAGGAGTTAGAGTTGAACCCTTTATGTCTCTATGGGAAGATGTTCTGCTCCTCAATCAGCTGGGTGGGTCTTACCTCTAGCCTCTTTGCAGGGAGTTCCGCTGAAGGGTTCCCTGCTGGGCCTGCAGCCTGGGTCGAATGAGGATCTGCCGGCCTGGGTCGTCTCACTCACTTGCCGGGCCTGCGCTCTCTGGTTTACTTTTCTTAGCTGCTGTGATGCCCATGGTGGCATTCATACAAGATCCACTACTATTCCCAGTGTAGATTTCAGTTATTACCTGCAAAATATATATAAATATTTTGCTTTAAACATTTGAGCTCGGCATGGTGGTATTTATGCCTGTAATTACAGCACTCAGGAGGTCAGGGCAGGAGGATCACTGTGAGTTCAAGCCAGTCTGAACTCTAGCAAAACCCTGTCTCAAAAGGACAAAATAAATAAATAAAATATCATTAAATCTATTTTATTTTTATGCAATTTATTTCAAATTCTTTTGGAAACAGGATGTTATACACATAATGAACCACACTGAGGGGCACCTCACTTTTCTTGGCGTTTACCAGCACGGGCACTCTTGTCAGGGGCTCTAAGTCACGTTCAGTACCATGAATGGGCACAGTGAGTTTCCAAACATTCTGGATGCCATTGGTTTCACACTGAAAACTCACGGAATTTGGTTCCTATGTTTTCTGTTTATCTTGTATTTATAATGGATAGCTCTTTTGAGGAGAAGTGCTGCACTATAGAGCCATTGGTTACCTGGAGGTCAGGTTTGCTAAGTTTTAGTCACACTTTCACGGGTCTAACAAGCAAGAAACAGACCCAGTCCATAGTTTGCAGACGTGAAATTATGGGAGTTGATAAGAATGAGGAGATACTTGATTAATTTGTCTTTAGGCCTAAAATTTTCATTTTCTGATAATCTGATTTTGACTGAAAATGTACTGTTGCCAACAAATCAGGACATGTCATGAAGAGTATTACTTCCAGAGACCAGAAACTTGCGGAGAGAACTTGGGCCTCATGTGCGTCCGCTGGCAGCGCTAGGCCTTGCTTGCGAGCTCCCCGGCTGTTGCTTCGCAAGCTCCCGCGCGGAGTTAGGCTGACAGCCAGCCGCTCGGCCGGGCTGCTTCCGGCTCCGGCTCGGCCTCTGCGTCCTCTGCTGGCAAGGTCGCGGCTGCAAGGAGGTGCAGGCCTTCTCTTTCGGAGTCACCCTGCAGAGTCTACGTCTAATAACTGTTCATGCTCTTATTTTCCATCTTCTCTTCACCTGAGAGTTTAGGGTTGTGCAATTAATTGTTTTCTACTCTGAAATTCTTACGTGGAGACTCTCATATGACAGGAAAAGCTTAGGAAAAAGTCACTGAATTATCGAGTTGATCAGGATTTTGAATTTCTCTCATTTCTCTCACAGCTTGTGCCCACCAGCATTAGTCCTGCTGATAAAAGCTGTAGGGGCAGCGTGTATTATTTATTGCCTCACCCTGAATTCTAACAATAAGGTATTTTACTGCGTGGTTTTCTGTAGGAAAGGAAGAGGGTACTATACGAGCCATCTGACACTGAATATTAAATGTTTCCCCTACTCAGTTTGTCTTAACTAGTGGGAAAATCCCTGAGTACTGCTTTGCACTTTAGTGAGACAACCCATAAACAACTGGGGTGTACTGTTGACAGGAGCCACGGGTGCTTTTTGTGTACTCTTTTGACTCATTTTAAAACTCTTATTTTAAACTCTAAAAAAGAATAAAACCAAGGGTTGGTGAAATAGCTCAGTGCACTAAGCTCCTTCTTAGTAAAGTGCAGGGATGGGGGCTCAATCCCCCAGCGCCATGCGGTGCAGTGCCAGCCCTGCCCCTGGGTGCGCTGAGTGGTTGAAAGCTTTGCCACTATAGTTATGAAACAAAGTTTCTTTTGTTGCTCTATTGGTACAACAGGCTGGGGCTTTTGTTTTGTGTGACTACACTCAAGGACCTGAAAGCTTTCCCACAACATCGCCCTCTTGTCCATGGGAGAAACTGTTTATATCAACAGAGTAATGAATTGGTGAAATCACAGACAGAGTATCACTTCTTCATAGTCTCACATGGATCAGAATTCCTTATCCCATAACAACCTTCCCCTCCCTGCTCGGGATCAAACCCAGAGTCCTGACACTGACACATCCCAGGTCTTTTTATCGTTTTCTTTCTTTAACATTCCTTGTGCAGACATAGGCCTTGTGTGTACAGGCACTCAGCTAAGTGTTACTTGAATAAATGAAAAGGAAAACAAATGAATTCAGTGAGTGTCAGGAGTACAACGACAACGGCAGACAGCCTTCCCAGAAGAGGCGGCCCTGGGTGGGCCGAGAGTTCCAGGACTTGGAGGTTCTGGGCTGGGGCCCATTGCTGCAAGGTGTCTCCAGCAGCCCATTTCTGGAGGCCAAAACCTCGGCCCAAAGGTGAGCAACTGGTGCTGGGCTTGATGACCTTGGGCATCAGCATGAGGAGCGTTGACTTCCTGCAGTTTTTTAGAATAAGTGAGTATCCTGAGAAGAGTTTTCTCTATGGAAACAGGTCTAGTAGAAGTAAATAGAAATTTTTCCAAGAACTTCTCCTTGTTTAGAGTGAAATATCTGAGACCAGGGTCAAATTAGGAGATTGTTGTAACAATCTATGAAAGAGATGACAAAGGCCTGGTTTAAGAAAAGGATGACGTACTTCCGATTTGATTTGAAACTGTCTCATTACTATCTGTTTATCAATAAAATTTTGAAAAAAAAAGAAAAGGATGACAGGGGGATCTTGACAAAGTTTTGAAAGCCTAGAAGAATAGAAAGTTAAAGAATATGAGAAATTAAAGGAGTAGAACAGTGAAGTAGACAAGGCCTTTGAAAGAGATTTTTAGGTCCCAATCACCTCAAATTGAGCATCACCCTGAGAAATGGGGAGCAGGAGCAGGAGGAGGAACAGGACAAGGAAATAGGTTCCCTCTGGATGTGTTGATTCTGGGGCCAGATGTGTTGTCTGGGGCAAATGGAGGTGATGTTGAGATAGGCAAAGGTACTGCGAGGTGGTAAATGAGAGAAGAGACACGGCGGCCAAGACTAGGACTTGGGAACACCCACTGAAGGGAGAAGTAGAGAGACAGACACAAGCGGACAAAGGAGACTCTGTATGTCAGGGTACTAGAGGGGAACCAGAAGGGGCTTTTCATCAGACTACAGAATTCTGAGTCTTTGAACTCAAAGAGGGAACTAAGAAAAAGTGTTCAAACGGAGAAGAATTGGACTAGATATCATCAGGGTGCAAGGGAGATGGGCGCTTAAGATGGTAATTAAATCTGAGAGGTAAGTGTCACAATGATTGTTCTGAGAACTGTTTCAACGAGTGGTCCCGCCATATACCAGACTTCAGTGGGATCAAAATAGGTCATTAATATAACTAATGTACCCCAAATCAGATTATTCTTTTAAACATTCAATTGTAAAAAGAAAGAAGAAAGACGGTGGCAGCTAAAGAGATAGTCAGGCTTAGGGACAAAGCTATTTTGTATGTTTATCTGTTTTAAAAGAAAGGGAGAGATATGAACATCATATTCAAATCCTTGTTACCATCCCTGGTCCTCTGAGACATGATGTCTTATGTCTATGGGAATGTTTGATGCATTTTGAAACCTCTGTAGCTACCTCAAATCTAACATGTCACCTTATATTCCAATGTAAAGAAACCAATTCTCCCTTCTGTATTTCATATCACCTTTCTATAGCTCACCCTATAGCCAGCACCTTAAATTAATAGCCACCTCCCCTAGAGCATGAGAACCTGCTCATGTCCTCTCTTTTTGGAATACAGTCTAATCCTCTTCTAAGTAGACCCCAACTTTGAGCTGCTTTCCACCCTGCAGTGGCACACCTTGGTGGCCACCCACTGCCCATAGAGAAAGACCTGAACTCCAGCCACCTGCACAGAGACACCAGGCAGACTTCTCTCCAGCAGTGCCAAGGCTGTGTGCCTCGACTCCTCTTCCTATCACCCTTCTGTTGCTGCAGCCTCTCTTGCTTGTCTACACCTCCTCCTTATACTTTGAGTAGCTAGCTCCTACTCATCTTCAGGTGCACTCCTAAACATCATGCCTGTCATTTAGCCTTATCCTCAAGCTTCCCTTCCTCCCCCAGGGTGGTTAAGTGTCCTATGATATTGTAACCATAGACATCTAGGCTGAAAAGTGATGACTCTTTCCCCTGGTGGAGCTCCTAAGGTCAGGAAAGATTCTTGCTTGTGCAACTCATCAATCCGTGGAGTGGGCAGATGAAGGTGCCTAAGAGGAGAGAGGGTGCTGTGCAAGGAGGTCTGAGAAGTGAGAGAAGCTGGAGTTGGGTGATAAACTATAGGCTAACTCCAGATGAAAGAGGTGCCATGAGCCTAAGAGGAAGGAGAGCTGAGATAAAGATTGGCCATAGAGCTGAGCATGAAGGGAGTTTCAGAGTGGAGACTCTTTCCTTCATAGATGGGTAGTGGGACAGAGTGAAATTTGGTGAAAGTGGTGGCAGAGAAGAAATACATGAGAAGTGTTTGTGGGGAGACTGAGTGCACATCTCAGGACACAGTCCCTGCAGACACTGCTCTGCAATGTGCCGCCCCCTGCAGGCTCACTCATATAACCCAAACTTCTTTTCTGAGGCAAAAACTTGGCTGCGTGCTTGCCACCGGGGCTGGTGTGGCTCTTCATGAAGCTGCTGCTGGTGGAGTTCAGTGGTGTGTGACTCACAGTGAGGCTGTCGGCACTGTGCAAAGAGTAGCTATAAACCAACTAAACCAATTGGAGGAAGGCTGACTTTGTGTTAGTCTCCTGTCTGCAGGGAATGACATAGCATTTGGGGAAGAAGGTGCAGCACAGGATCCCATAGTTAGATATTAAGATGACGAGACTCTCCACAGTGGGCAGATACCTGCCAAATGTGGCAGCATAGACTGGGATGAAAGTGACCCATGCTATGAAGTAAATGAGCATGCCGAAGGTTATGAATTTGGCTTCGTTATAATTCTCAGGCAGCTTCTTGCCTTTGAAGGCAAATAGGAAGCAAATGAAGGCTAAGATAGCAATGTAGCCCAGCATGATGCCAAAGGCCAGCACTGACCCCTCATGGCACTCAAGTATGACGACCCTGGGCAGGGTTACATTCTCCTCCACCACAGGTGCCACGAAGTGAGCCAGAGTGCACAGCTGGGGACTTGGACTCCTGTGTACGTGAGGACAATGGGAACTGGCTTATAGAGGCACCTCAGGGAGTCCTGCAACTTGGGGTCAAAGCTAAAAGCCAGCAGAATTTTCAAGGACTTCATCAAAATGCAGGAGACACATGGAATAAAGCTCACACCAAATTCTGTCTGCCTGGTTTTACGTGTGAAGTCTTGTGGTTCTCCGGTGAAGAAGCCAGTGCTGGCAAAGTTGAGGAAGTGGCAGAGGAGGGTCACTAGCAGAGCAGTATCCCCGGAAGACTTCACACAGGTGTGTGCAGGTTTCAAGTAAATATTATGCCAACAGCCAGGACGAAGACGATTCCCAGAAAGGAGAGAGCCACCAGCAGGACAGCCAAGGAGTCACCCCAGTTAAGGAATTTGACCTCCTTCTCCAAGCACGTGGGGCTCCTCGCAGGCACCCAGTGAGTTTCATTGTCACACAGGAGACAGTGGTCCATGTCTGAAGGCCAAAGGAAAGTCAGCAACCTTGCAAACACCTATACCAGGTAAGTGCCCAGAATGTCACAAACGAAACTCCTGGGGCACTCGTCCCAACCCCAAACAGATGCAGAACCTAAAGAAAGAGTGAAACAGCAGAGGGGAGGAAAGACCCAGAAAGAAAAGAAAAAGAGAGAGGGAAGGACAGAAAGGCAGCTGGCTGTGAACCGCTAGGGCATTTGTATTTCCGGGTAGGCACTAGAGACTTTTAAACTTGCTGTTTCACACAGCAGTTCAACACTCTGATAGGAATAAGTGATTTTGAATCAAATACAGCCATGATTCTTATCTTTTCTTTACCACCTGTGAGTTCTGCAATCTTGAGCCAGTGCCTGAGCATTCTGTTTCCATTTCCCACTCCCCTCCCCACCCCATGGTGTCCCACTCAGAGCACACATGGATCCCCAGTGTGTGGGGCTGCTGCTGCGAACCAGGCTGCAGTTCTTTGTAAGACCAAGGCAGCATGGTGAGATGGCCCTAAGAGTTTGGTTTCTTTCCAACAGTGAGATGACAAGATAATCACATCATGACAGTTGAGGAAGAATTAAAATTTATTGTTTTCCGTAGGAGGTCAGCAGACTTGGTCTGTTTTGAAAAGCCAGAGCAGGGTTTATGCGAATCCCACCTGCAGGGAAGCACGGGATCTCTGGGAGCAGGGTTCCTTTGCTCCCCACCTCACCCTTTAAGATAATAGATCCTGATGCTTTTGAAAAGCCTCTCTCTGGACATCACCTGTTTATGTGCAGCAAAAATCAAAAGTGTTCATTAGACTCTTTAAGATGTCTGTGCTCTTGGCTACATTAACCTCAAAATGAGGTGTTTTTATCCAGAAACTTTATGACCTTTCCAGTGTCCTTCACCTTTTAATACCTATTTCCCTGCACGTGTCTTTCTCTTGTTTTCCTTTTCACTCTTGGTTGTTACCATCTGTCCTCAGTAGAGATTTATGGTCTTGCCCTGTGGACAGCGTGTGTGAGAGATGTGGAAAGGAAGAAAGACTGAACTCTTAGGGCCATCTCGCCATGCTGCCTTGGTCTTACAAAGAACTGCAGCCTGGTTAACAGCGGCAGCCCCACACACTGGGGGTCCATGTGTGCTCTGAGTGGGACACCATGGGGTGGGGAGGGGAGTGGGAAATGGAATCAGAATGCTCAGGCACTTGTTCAAAGTTCAAAGATGCTTGCCTTAGCACACTTCCAGGCTACACTACTAGCTTCCTTTCCCTCCAGGGTCCTGCGGGGTCTATACTCATCCTGGTCATCCAAAGATGGAGCCCGGATTGGACTTAGAAAGGCTTTAGTATCTGTCTGTGGGAAGTTAATGTGTTTGGATACCATATTGTCTAAAAACTTTCTTTTCAGTTGATTATTTAGGCAACATAGCTTTTCTCAGATTAGAGGAAGTGACACCTTAAAGGCACTGGTAAAACATGAACACTGGAATGTTTCTATTGCTATACTTTTCCTGCTAAAGCCAGTAAGAAGAAAGAATACACATTTGGGAACATTCTGGCTCTGGGATTCTTAGTTTTCATAGAAGATGAACAGTAAGATAGCAATAAATGAAGAAAATGGGTGCTTTCAAGTGTCTTGCAACAGAGAACATGCCAGTAGTTCTTAGAGCGTCTAAGGTTGCTGACCTCAGTGTGCACTTTGCTCTGATGTTGCCAAACTTGTTCGGTGCCGTATCAATAAGAGTCTATCACTTGTGGGTCAGCTCTCAGTATTTATTGTACAAAGCGCAATTGGATCTAACAAGATCCTCCACCCTCGTCTATCTTCCTCTTCTCTCCTCTTGGGGGTAGAGTCACAGACTTATATAGGATCTGGGCAGCCAATCAAGT